TTCTCCATAGAGAAAGAATTCTTCATTTGCAGATGTATTTAAGATAACGCTAGTGAGAAATAATGCTTTAATTACAACAAAACCTTCACAAAGTTTGCTCAGTAATTTGAAGGGAAACAGTTTAGTGAACTGTTTTCTTAATTCATTAGCATGCTTACTTGGGACTTAACAACTGATGAGTTTAGCTGGACTGATGTCTGATTAGACATACATAATAAATAATAATCATGTGCCAGCTGACTTACGGCGATCCTTTTTCAGGGTTTTCCAGGTAGAGCAATCTCGGAAGTGGTTTACTATACCCTTCTTCTGGGGGCGCCTTGGAACTGTGCAGCTTGCCCATGACTACACAGCCTGGCTCTGCTCTCAGGAGGCACAGTGGGGAATAGAACTCCCAACCTCTGGCTCTGCAGCCAGATACCTAAATCACTGAGCTATCCACTGGGCTGTAAATCTCTTGATTTCCCCCTCCTTACCACCACCACCCCACAAATTATGCCAATATGACTTTTTAAGTCTGGGGCAAGGGAGGCAAACATTAAACTTGCATGGTCTAGTTCAGGTTTTAGTAGCATCTAAATATCCACCAAAAACAAACAGATATAAAGTTATGCTCCAGGCGACATGACATAGACAGTACCAAGAATCAAGGAACAGAGTGATTCTAAGCATCATGCCCAGTCCTAGAATCTGTGATCGGCAGCTAGAACCATGCTCACATAACCTTTTACACAAAAATCCAGTCTAATCCTGGCCTCCTCTTCCCCACCACCAGCAATTTTTGCAGCAATCATATTGGCAAAACAGAGGGTTTTGATTGTCACTACAGTTAGAGAAATGCTAATCTGCTGCAAATCACTGGGATACATTCTTTCAGTACATTTCAGCCTCTGTATCTACTCTCAAACAAGGCCATCTTCACAAATTTGCCAAGTATCTTTTTTTTAATTTGCCACTTCACCTAAAAAGCATCAAATCAAAAGAGTGTGATTCAACTGAGTACAATTGCATCCAAATAAGTATTACTATCTCAAGCCAAACCTAGTTTAAGAGTATGATGATCAAGCATAGCCAGTTAATGTTCTTGGAATATAACCTGTTCCAATAAAGCCATATGCTTAATAAATTGAGCAGTTCCTTTCTCTGGGCAAAATCCACCAGAGGGAATCAAAGGGGTCTTTAAAAAGATTCCCAGATGCAACACAGAATTCATAGTTGTCACTTCTGAGTTTATGGCATTTGAGTGAATATATCCTCCACATGATTGTGGACAGGAGCAACATGCAGTATTACTCTGAATTCTTAGTTAGGAGATTTCCATTCTGAAGACAGGCATTAACTGTCAGTATTATTATTTATTTGAAATTAGTTAATATGTGCAGATAGATATAGGAAAGTGGGCTCTCCTTTGCTTTGTAGTGGTGATTTAGAAAATAAAGCATCTTTAGGACAGGACTTTAGCCTATAGATGCTTTGGATTAGAATTCCCAATCAGCCCCTCTTAGGGGATCTGCAATGTGAAATGTCACAAGAACCCAAAGTTCTCTGCACAGCCTTATGAAATTCTTGAGGGCCCTGCAGCACGCCCTGCCATACAGATGACATATGTTGCTCAGTAAATATGTGAACCCCTTAGTACTGAAAGTGGGTAAGTCACCCATGGTTGTGATTGTCTGTCCCAACACTGCCCCATGGTTCTGTTCCATTCATTTACAGTATTAGCATAAGATTGATCCTGGCCTCTGTGCAGTTGGAGGTGATGTGAAGGTTGATGGCTTAACAGCAGCTGGTCCAGTTGCTCTGGGTGATCTAGCATGCCTGACCAGGAAGCCTTTGCAGGAGTCATAAACCATGATGTAACCTGATGCAGCTAATGGTTGCGAGGCAGCTTCTCTGGCTAATCTGCTTTAACTCTTTGAAGTTCTGTCTGGGGTCCATAGCTAGATGTTAACGAACAGGTTGAAATCCTGATTAATTTCAGTCCTTCCTCAAGTCAACTGTTCAAACTCCTAGCAGAACCAAGTCCTGACCCTTTACAGATGGTGGCAAGTAAAGAAGTATGAGGACTAGCCTAAATTGTCAACACTGACTGACAGAAGCTGTCTAGGGTGTTTGACAGGATTTTTTCCTCACCCTCCCTGGTATTGAGCCTGGGACATTCAGATTATGAAGCATGTGCTTTCCCACTGAATTACAGCCACTCAGATCTTTCTTTTTTCTCTATGGATGGAAAGCAGACTTCCTAAGTAGGACACCAGCTGCCAGTTAAATCCTTCCTCAAGTGTGGCAGTGATGGCTGTGGAATTCTGGGAGATAGTTCAGAAAAGTAAGATTTCCCATATGGGCAGCAAGACCAGTGGCAGTGGTTCACTGTCTCTAGAGGGAAACTGGTGCCCGTCTGGCAATCCTCTAGCAGCAATCGCTCTAGTTATGGGGTGAGGGAATGGAAATGCCTCTTCTGGGAAGCAAAAGACAATGTCTGGGAAATGCATGTTGTGCCATTAGCCCTGATTTACACAGATGTGGAATGTTAGTCTTCCCATCTCTGGCACAGAATTAGCATTAATGACAGGTCTCTTCTTTGTTTTTTGTGTGGAAGTTGCCTGCCTCTCCGAGGGTGGGTAATGTTAAATAGCCTTAAGTAATCACTGTAATGAACCAAATTGGTTCTCCAGGAAATGAGTTAGGTGCCAGAATTGTGTTGTGTGGGGAAAGGATCATTAGTATCTAGAATTAGTAACCAGAGTGTTATAAAAGCAGGAAAGAGTCTTTAAATAGATTTCCCAGAAATGAGACAGATTTCGACTAATCCTGAAATTTAATTTTAGGCATCAACAAATGGCCTCCATCTAAGTGTTCAGAGGTATTCCAGACAAATATTCCTTCTGCCTGTTTCCCATATTATCTCTTCAGTTTAAGATTTTGTTCATATACTGGGCCAGAATCCTTTTGGAGATTTTACTAATGTATATGTTAAGTGGCAGAATTCACCACAGCAAATTCCTCCGTAGAAGACATATACACAAATCATCAGCAGGACTCTAGTCATTGATAGTATGTAGAATTAGTGCGATTGCCACAAGCTTTACATGTTGACTTCACAAGCAACTTTACATGCTGAGGAAATTCTTTTGTACTTAAAGAGGGAATGTGGCATCTAAACAGGAGACAACTCTGAAAATAGTGAAGGGATGTATGTGTTTATGCACATAAGCTGTGTAGCCCCCAACTTTGCACCTGCCTCCCTATGAAGCCTTTCCAGTTTGAATACAGAGACAAATTCTTTGCTAAGAATTTCATTCCTATAAATTGCATTCCTGTAAACAATTCCTGTAAATACTTAAATTTAAAGACTAGAAACTAAATACATAGTAGGAAACAAGACACTGTCAACAGAAGTCATAGAAACATTTATAGGTAATAAGCAAAACCAAGGACTGGTTATTTGACTCTCTTATTATTTTCCCAAAATGCTTGAGAGGTAAGTAATAAAACTAAGAATCCCAAGAACTTGGTGTTTAGTCAAAGGCCAACAAAATAGACAAACAGGAAGGAATGTAAACTCATCAAGTTTTTCCTGTCTTTAATCTGTTTGTTCAAAGATTCCTTACTGCATTTTCCCTCTCCATACAAACTTATTTGCTTGGAAAACCCAACAAGTTATTTTCTGATATTCTCTTGCCTAAGTAGTTGATGCTGATGAAACAAAGAAATGTGCATTGCACAACTTTCATGAAACGACATACATTTCGAAAGCATTCTGCACTGTGGCTGTTTTGTGTGTGATCAAAGCTACATATAGGATCCCCCCCCCCAGAAAGCAGCATCTCAACATTTAGTTTCGTAATAAACAGTTTAGGATCACTGTATATCCAAATTTCACTACATACAGTCCCTCTGCTTTTCTCTTGCCCAGCAGCAGCTGCTGATCTGGAACATGGGACAAGATACATGCTAGAATTATGGTACAGCGTCAGTGAATGCCTCCATGATCAAGTAAGAGGGGAGAACTTTATGGCAGGACTGCTGTTTTTGGCAGAAGCTCCCACATCAATATTAGGTATAATATGTAGCTCTATCTTAAAGGATGTTGAGCAGTCTCATGTACAGTGGAACTTCCCATTCTAGCTATCTAGGCCAGTGTGGGTCTTTTTCAAGGAAGATTGGATAAATCCACAGAAGGGGCTATAAACAAATTCTAGCCATGATGCCCATATGTTTCTTTTGGTGCCTAAAGCACCATGCCTCTGGTATGTGCTGTTGGATACTAGTGGGCATGTACTGTTGTATACATGACTCCCAGTATGGTGTGGTGGATAAAGTGATAGATTAGGACTCTGGAGACTGGAATTCAAATCCCCACTTGGCCATGGAAACTCATTGAGGGAGTGGAACTGGTAAAACCACTCCTTAAATATCTGACTTAACTTAAAAGCCCAATTAAGTTTGCCATAAGTCAGTTTCCACTTGATGGCACAGTTTTTATGTCTTGGTTAGATGGTTCCCATAGTCACCTGGATGGCCACTGTGAGCAATACTAGGCTAGCAAAGCCGTCAGTTGGAACTAACATGGGTTTTCTTATGATATTGAATAATCATGTAATGAAGACCAGCAGTGGTTTGTGTTTATCTAAAGCTACTTGCAGAAATGTGGGCATTGTGCATTTAACATATAGTTGTACTAAAATATCATGCTTAAGTGGCTTAAGTCTCTTGTGATTCACGGGTATGTCAGCCAAGCAATTTCTCATTATTCAGTTTAACAGATCTTTTAAATTATAATAGAGACAGTGTAAGAACATTTGATATTTATGTTCTAGCATGGTGCAGCAGGCTAGCTCTACACTTATGACTAATAGCATGAATAACGACACTGAAAATCCATCTTCATGTAAAAAACAACAACAGAATGTATATTTATTGCTTCAAGAAATCTGTTCAAATCTAGCGTAGGATACAAAAACACAAACACAACCTAGGCTTGGTTAGAGCGACCGCTGAAGCTGGCTTCCGTGCATAGAGGTACTCTTGATCACCATTACGGAAGACAGCCAATATGTGGCTACCTCACAAAGGGGAACGGATAACAACTGATTTCCAAGGAGGAAGATGGGAAGGAGGACTAAAAACACGATGCAGTTTACATATCATTAAATAGTTGCTTACAGAAAAGAGTATGCTACCTCTGTCAACATCACATGCAGTTGTGGTTTAGCTTACTGTTTACATCAATTCATGTTTTCTGATTCTAACAAACAGAACATCTTCTTTGCAGAGGACAACTCAGTAATTACAGAAAGGATTTGGTGTTTGGGGCCCAGTTGTTTTGAAAACTACAATCATGCCTCAGCTGTGAAACTGAATTCTGAATTCAGCATTATCCAGGAATCTGAAGAAGAAAAAAGAAAAAGTCAAGATTTTGGACAGATTTGTTCCATTTGTGGAGACTGGTGATAATTTGCTTGGGCTTCATCAGGTTAGAGTATAACTAAGGCTTGCCAGGAAGGAAATATCCTCTGTAAGGAAGGAAGAGGAATAACACTAAGATACCAGAGTTTTCTAAGTATAGCAACAAGTAACCTATGACAATCCCCCAATGTGTTCACTGCACCCATTAATTTTATGCTACAGAAAAACATGTCAGGCATGTGTCAGCTTGTCTCTGATTTACATAGCCATTGATATATATTCTGAAATTCAGGCCTTTGGTATTTATGCCATTCAGACATTACCAGTCCTTAGCAAGCATTGTAAATATGTGCCATCACTGTCCCTTGGAATAATAGATTCTTCAACAAAAAAAATGTACTGCAACTGTGCAATCTTCAGAAACAATGAGCAGGCTGAAATCCAGTAGTAATTTGCAACTAGAGTAGGCCCATTGAGGAGGGATTTGGTGAGTCAATACTAATGTAAATTTTCTTGATTCGATAGATCTACTCTAGTTGTGACTTACTACTGGATTCCAGCAACTGTCCTGCAGCACTTTCAAGACTTACATTTCTTCTGGAATTATAAGCTTTTGTGGAGACTGTCAGCACTTTCTGTGGGAAGATGGCTCAGTTGTTACTGCTGCACTGGATAATCCTAACTCAAAAGATCCTGCATTTGGAGGGGATAGGGATTAGATACAAACCCCTTCTGTTAACAATTACCCTCTTTCAGTCTTTGTTTCTGGTCCGAGAGATCTGCCAACAGAACTGTTCTACTGGCTAAAAACTCGGGCAGAAGCATTGAAAAGTAGGGGCAAGAAAGAAGCCAGTTTTGCCTCTGATCAAAACCATTTCCTGACCAGAGACACAGCTTTATAAAAAGAGGAAGGCCAGGATTAGGCTAGTCCTAACTTATTTCCAGCATTGGTAGGCAAGGAGGCAAGCACATTTCAGCTGCCCTAGTGTCAAGCCTTAGGAGAGCTGAAGAAGGTAGAAAATCCCCAAATCCAAAGAATGTGGGGAAAGGAAGAAATTATTTTCCAGATAAACCTGTCTCCCATCAAGTCTCTCCCAGATGTTTTTGTCCCTGACAGAACTCTGGACAAATCTGTAAGCCCGCAGAGGGAGCAGCAGCTGTGTGGGAATCTTGAAGAACTGTTACTGATAAGCACAAATTAAGGATTCTTTTCCCCCTGTCCCTGATCTCAGAGCACTGTCAGGTCTTTATTATCTGGCCACAGTGGAACACATGTACTTTGTCCCTCACTGTTCCCCTTCTCATGCCTTCTTGATGAGTTGCAACAGTCTTACATAGGTAAGAGTGATCTAAAGTGGATTAAAGATTTATTTGTAACAGATTTCTACACTCTGCCGGAGATACATATCTCTTTTCCTTCTATCCACTGCGTATTGGCTGACCTCTCTGTTCCCCATGTACTTGCTAATGTTTCCAGCACAAAGTTGTTTTCATGTGTGAAATATTTTTATGCGTCCTCAGAGCCTGAAGTCATTCCAAAGATTACATAATAAAGATCATGGGAATTGAGAAGGGGGGGTTGGCTGCTGGATACAGAAAGCCTCCCAACTGTTCTATGAGCAAAGCTACTTATTAGAGTTGATTTCTTTAGACATTCTTAACATTTCTTTATAAATCTTACCCATCTCTCTCCCTCCTCCCACTCTTCCCTCCACCCTACTGTGACTTTGTTCCTGTTTTATCCCACTGCGGAAAACCATTCCATACTGATATTCCAGAAGTAGATGACAAGCAGTTGATTCCCCTTCATACTGTTGAACAATTATATAATGTTTGCCCTGCTCCCTAGATATTCATTCGTGCACAGCAAACAGGAACAGATAAGAACGTTGCTTTTTTAAAAAATAACTTCCTAAAAGTTGCATAATTATTTCCATAATTATGTGCCTTCTGCTGGGGGTGCTCTGGGACTGTGCAGTTTGCCCAAGGCTACACAGGTGAGCTCTTCTTCCAGGGGTCACAGTGGGGGAATTAAAATCTCAACCTCTGGCTGAGCTATCCAGTTCTTATTACATCTTAAATTCATTAGAAAAAGATTTTCTTAGATTAACAAAGCAAATGTAAGAGAAAGCAAAACTGCCACATTCATCCATCCAGGCAGCAGGTTTTGCATATTTATGCTCTTAAGAACTCTGGCTTTGAGTCCCTGTATATTAAACCATGTTTGTGGTTCTGAAGACGGCCATCTCTTTTTTTTCCATCAGGCTCCTCATAGTTGACAGCTATATGACAAATAGATACAATCTGGTTCTCTCCGTGGTAGTGATAGCTGTACCTGTTGAATTCAGCCAGCCGAGACAGTTGAAATTTTTCTTCATTCTTGAGAAGAACAGTGATCCTAAACTGTTTGTCAGGAAACTAAACGTTGACATGCTGGGTTTTTTTTTTTGGGGGGGGGATCCTATATGTGGTTTTGATCACACACAAAACAGCCACAGTGCCGAATGCTTTCAAAATGTATGTAGTTTCATAATGAAAATGTACAAGTTCCTTGACAAGCTCAATAGAAAAGACTAGAGGTTTTTTTAATTGAGTGTAGGACGAAGCAATATAGACAGATTCATACACACCATAAGATAGTGTACTGTTCGCATTTGTTGCATATATATAGTATTCGTGTCTTTCCATCAAGGAGGAACATGTGTGATAAGACTTGATAGTACTAATCACTCATTTGGATCAGAAGGAAAATGTATTGACAGAGAGTGAGAGTGAGTGAGTGAGTGAGTGAGTGAGTGAGAGGACTCTGAGCCTGAATTTCCAAATTTGATAGCAAGATCATCAGCTACCAGTCTGTCTCAGTCTCCAGAGACTGAGGTTACAACCCAAGTCCAGAATCCTTTTTGCATTTTATAACCACTCTGAAAGGTAATCATCGAAGTAATTTTTGTGGCTTGTCACAGGGCCAGTCACACATTCTATCGCACAACCAGGTCACAGCCTCATGCTTGAGGGACAGCAGCAATACACCCAGCACCAGTTGCATGATTACCCTCCTGCACTCACATAACACAACAGTATTTTCACCCCAATCAGTAAGCTTGCCAAGCTCTTGGCTGGGCCGCATGTCTTCCTCAAGCAGATCATTTTGCCAAATTGTCTGAAAGTTGAAAAAAGAGTGTTAATGCTAGTATGAAACTGTGATGTGATAGCTCAAGATGAACTGTTATGCATGTATTAAAGGCATCTGCAGGAGAAATGAATGCCTCTCAAGAAAGTTTATATGGAAACTTTTGTTTTGCATAGTTGTGTTTGGCTGCAAAGCTGGTTTGTGTGTTTTTTATTGTGCCATGTAATTAATTCTGATCTGAACTTTATGATTTGAGCTTTTACTACATTCTATAGCGAGGTTGTAAAACTTATCATTTGTCATAATTAGTGAGATGTAGTGACTGCAGAGTATTCACCACCTATCCCTAAAATAGAAATTTGTTGCTCATCTGTCTCTGACTTGTTAGGGAACATTGATCTAGAAAAGCGTTCTTGCGAATGCTCCAACAATTCTCAGGCAAACTGCCATAACTTTCAGATGTAGGTTGGTTAAAAGACGATCACTTAACATGCATTGGATTTTCGACAGAATTGACTGCTATGCAAAAGAACACAAACCACACACCTAGAGAGAGCCTTACCTATCATAAAGGTGAGTCAGCTGCTTTAGATGGCAGGTGCTGGGGAACAGTACTGGGAGTAGCATTCCTATGCTTTTCTCCTGAGTCCCTTCACCATTCTGTCTGCTAGAAAACAAAACTGTATGGACTATGCAGCCTGCCAAATGCCCCCTACAGTAGTTTGTTGCCCTTTGGTACAGTGGAGGATGCATCATCATCACTAGTGTTGAAATAACATTCAGTTCCTGGCAATCACCTTTAACTAGAAAAGGGGAAGAAGTCCTATTTTGTGATTTACTCTGGCAAGACTGGGCCAGTTCCATAAACATGATAGTCATCACCTTAAATCCAGTAGTAAATTGCACTAGAGATAGGAGGGCCTGGCGTGCTCTGGTCCATGGGGTCACAAAGAGTTGGACATGACTAAACAACTAAACAACAACAACACAGCCTACCTGAAAAACATCCATTACTACCATTAGACAAGGTGAGACTACTTTTTTTCAGACAAAGGTTTCCTACCAAAGGTAGCCAACACACATGAACACAGAAACCCCCCCCCCAAAAAAAATCTCTAAAACATTTGCTATTGCTTTTTTTCACTCAGGCTTTCACACAGAGGATTTCCTTGGACTATCTCTCCAAAAATGGGTTTGAGAGAGGTCCTCCTAGCCTGGCAATTGGAAAATAGCTTGCTCTGTAGAGAACGGTACAGCAAAGCTGACTTCTGCAGAAATCTTCTGGAAAGTGAATATGAGACTGAAGAAGCAGCAGCAGATGTGGGGAGAAGAAAGCGGGTGAAGAAAAGGCAGAAGTTCCAAGTTCGGCGGGGGAAGTAGAAAAGCAGGTGGTGAAAGCAGTAGGAGAGTTGGAACAGCCCCTGGGAGAAAAACAATGCAGGCAAAGCAAAAGGCAAACCACATGTGCAGATATTTGCTACACATGCCACTGGGGTGGCTGAAAAGCTGGAGTGGGGTCTACTTTTATCTCTGACTGCAAGGGGGAGGTACAATCCTGCTTCACTCCATCTTTTTTTCCCCATACCCTTGTATGTTCCCCCTGCCAAGAAGCCCAGTATCAAAAGCAAGGTGGCAGGAGGGAAAGCCTTCAAGCAATGGAACATGGGATGGCAAGATGTGGGACATCGTTTGTTTTGTGCCTGTGCTTATACATTCCTTTCAGTGATCCATCTTTGCTTTACAGGGAATGTGTGTCTAGCAAACACGTGTGCATCTTGTTTGCCCTTAAAATAGTCTCAAACCACAGCTGGAAGATTGCCATGGACCCATTTGAGAATAAGTCTACAATCTGTAATTTTATTTATTTATTTATTTGTTTGTTTGTTTGTTTGTTTATTGCATTTATATGCCGCCCATCTAGACATGGTCTACTCTGGGCGGCTCACAACATACAAATAGCAAACAATTTAAAATATACACAATTTACATAGATAAAAACAGAAAAATATATAATCAAAGAACTTACAGTTTTTAACAATCAATTTAAAGCAAAGCAAAGAGTCCCAAAGCAAAGAGTTACTTTGCTTTAAATTCTCTCCAGGATGAATAATCAGGGTTTTTTTTCACAATCTATGACTTGCATTTCACTAATAAAACTACTACTCTCCACCCTTACTCTGTCTTACAACTGGGTAATTCATCTACTCATTCCTTGAACAAAATTCTTTTATATGTTTCCCTTCTGACCTTCAGTCAAGTTGGTTACCCTTAGTGTAGGCTGTGAAGTGAGAACAGAATGTGTCCTTTGTTTCGCCTGAATTACCCCAGAGACTTTCAGTGTTATAAGACATGTGCACTGACTAGAGGGGTTTCGTTTAAAATATGTAGTAGCCCACTAGTATTCAGATGATATTTGTCTCAGGATCTGAATTCTATGTTGAGACTTCTACTTGTTTGTTTGTTTGTTTGTTTGTTTGTTTGTTTGTTTGATTGATTGATTGATTGATTGATTGATTGATTGATTGATTGATTGATTGATTGATTGATTGATTGATTGATTGATTGATTTGTATCCTGCCCATCTGGTCTATACGACCACTCTAGGCCTGTTGTTTGGCCTAATAAGGCCACCAGTTAGCATCAACTGTATACAACAACACAAGTTATACAAAGATAATGTGATGTTTCTCTGATGTGTCTTAGGATTGAGGACTCACAAATTAATACTTAGGAGATCAACATAAGATATTGATCTTGTTTCTTTCTCTCTTTTTTGATAGCTTCTCAGTATAGCAAGCTGTTGGAACTCTGTAGTCATGATTTCACATTCTAATAATGTCTATTGTTGGAATAATTTACTATCAGTAGCTGTTGCAAAGCATAAATAAAAAAAGATAGGTTGTAGGTTTGGAAGACAAATCAGGTTACACTCTCCTTCTTAGGACAGATGGTACTGGAGTTGTTATTTTAAGGGTAGGTGAAATTACCTAACCATGTAGCCAGTGAAAAATTTCTTCATTTTATTTGTGATCTAGCTGCACAGTTTGTAGTGTTTTTCCCTTTCTTGTTATCTGTTTGCTTTAGATTTTTTTAAAAAATCAAGAAAGAGGATTAAGGAGGAGGAGATCATTTTTTCATGACTAAATATCAATTCCCTTAGCAATTACTTTGTGAGGCTCATATCAAGAGTACTGAGTTATCAATGGAAAAAGACATCTATTTGCAGTTGGAGGAAGTTATAGTAAACTGTCTGAGCCTTGCTTCGGAAAAGTAGGGAGGTCATTCTAAAACATAAAAATCAATATTTTAAAAAATACATTCTAAAACTGAAATTTAGAGTTACATCAAATGTTTACTAGATATTTTATTGTGCAAAGATTAGTGTATTAATTATTGAACACATGGGCTAGTAGTGTGCTTTCATTTTCATTATCTTGATGTTGGGATTGTAGCAGGGACTATCACCATTAGAGAATGACTTCCTGGTGGCCAGAAGTTAATGTAGTGCAGGAGAAACTTTAACAGGACCTGTGCCTTTAAAAGAGAAAGAGAAAGAAATGCAGGGGTGGGGACTGCAGAACAGTGCTTCATAATTTTATGTTGGGGGAAAAATGATAAAGTCTTTCTCAGTTCCCATTTTCTTGATTAAAAAAACTCACCAGAGAGAGAGGGAGAGATGTATCTGTTCTATGGGGGAACGTACAGGTTCCATTCAGTGAGAGTGATATATTACTGAGACAACATATCAGTTCAAGTAATCACAATTACCAAATCAGGTTTTGGGAAATGTTAATCCAGAGAGACTATTATTAACTTCCAGTGTCAGTAACGTCTGCTTATTAAACAGAAGAAGGAGGAATGTTCATGGAACTTTTCTGTCTGAGAGTTTCTCCTCTTTTTGTGTGATTTAAGCAAGGATCAGCTCTCACTTTTGGATGGTGAGAAGAACTTGTATGGTGTAATGGACAGAGTGCCAGACTAGGAATCAGAAGGCCTGAGTTCAAATATCTCTTTGGCAATAGAAATTCACTGGAGTTTAGCAAAGTTAAACCACTTTCAGAATTTGTCACATATCTCAAAAAACTATTAGGGTCACCGTAAACCTGAAGTAACTTGATAAAACACAGCAAGAACAACAACTAATGAAGGTGATCCTGATTCAGCCAAGGACTGGGCATGGAACTGCTACCCACCTATATCTGTTGATTAAGAAGACCTCTAATAAGTTCATGCCTTGTATTGTTCCTCCCAGTGTTAAATGTAAACATGTTTTGAGTGACCACAATTCTCACATATGCAGTTTGACTTTATGTTTATCCATTTCTTCCATCTTGAACTTAACATCTCTATTCTGGTTTTGTTCTTGACCTAGTCTAAAAGTACATGTGTGTGTGTGTGTGTGTGAGAGAGAGAGAGAGAGAAACAATAGAATCTGCAGTGATTCTATTTGTAACACACAATGCCATGCCTTATACAGTCAATCCTCGACTTACAAACTTAATCCATTCCGGAAGTAAGTTTGTAAGTCGAAAAGTTCGTAAATCGAACCAGCATTTCCCATAGGAATGCACTGAAAACCAATTAATTCATTCCAGCTGTTTTTGGTTCTTAGGTCGAGGGGCGGTTTGTAACTCGAATCATTAGTTCCCATAGGAACTAATGCAAAGCCGGTTAATCCGTTCCTACCACTAGGGGCAGAATTTTTTTTCTTTTTTTCCTTTTAACCTACGATGATTTAGGTTTTAAAAAAAGGAAAGAAAAGAGGGAGGGAAGGAGGAAACAGACCCCTTTTCAACAGAACACCTTGAAAAGCACCTTTTCAGCCAAGACAAGCACCTTCTGGGAAAAACCAAGCACCTTCCAGACAACAGATCACCTTGAAAAGCACCTTTTCAATCAAGACAAGCCAATACAAGCACATTTGGGGGGAAAAGGAGGGAGGGAACACCTTTTAAAAATCCAAAAATCAAAATTTTTTAAAAAGCCAAAAAATAAAAATACAGTCTGAAGACTGTCTCCAAATCCACTCTCAAAACGCTGGGAAGAGTGAGAAAGCAGATAGGCACCCTCTTCACTGGCCAACGGTTAACTGAAAATTCAAATTTGGCTCTTTCCTCCTGCATGTTGTGTTTTTTTTCGGTTCGTAACTTGAATATAAGTTTGCAAGTTGAGTCAATATTTTTCTATCAGAGCAGTTTGTAAGTCAAAATGTTTGTAACTAGGGCCGTTTGTAAGTGAAGGGTTGACTGTAGTGGTTCTTTTCTGTCCTGGTCTATTTATATACACCACAGTTTTGCACAGTACAGGACTGGCTCTTTCTCTGTCCTCTGGTGGCAGCCTTCACGCAATCACCTTGGTGCACCAATTCTTCCTGTTTCTCAACCTCTAGAAATATCTGGTTCTGTCCTTCAGCTACTCTTTCCTCGACAAGGTAACCAATGCTCCCAGCTCACCTCTCCACAGTATCTAATGGATACCCCTCCTTCTCTCAGCTGCTCCCAGCCATCTTTTCCGCTTCTGCTCCTTCTCTTCCTTGTCCTCCTCCTCACTCCCCTTGGGGTCACACAACCTGCTCCTACTGCAGATGGCAGCTCTTCTTCCTGTTCCTCCCCTCTCTCCCTGCCCCACACGCCTGAGGCACACCCAGGGGTTACTCACTCAAAGCCCTCGCAGTG